GAAAACGTTTGAGGGCGGTGCGCAGTATTGAGGAACTGGCATCGTTTGCGCAGTCGCGGCAGGTCTCCACAAACTGCTATACGGGTTATAGTGTTCACTTGAGAAACTTGTTGGGTTGTTTGGAACATTTATAGGTTGATGGGATGGCGCTGCAGGCGCCTGATAGCCAGTTGAAACGGGGCCGGAATGTGGCTGACTGACCGGAAGCAAAGAGGGAATAGGAACGGTTGACGGGACAAATGGTTGAATAATCGGAAGCGAAATGGGAATCGGAACGGTTAATGGAGGAACAAAAGGTTGACTCGCCGGAAGCGAAACTGGATTAGTAACGGTCGACACAGAAGGCGGTGCCACATTAATGGTGGGATTACCAAAGGGCATTGAAGCGGGAATGCTACCACTTGCTTGTGGTATCAGATTGTGATTTTGCGAAACTTCAGCATGAGGTGTTGAAGCTAAGTGTCGAGTAACAAAGTTTGAGCTGGAGGCAACGAACTGTGGTAAACTAGATGGGTTCTCGATTGAGTGCAATGACAGACGCGATTGGACCAAACTTGATCTCTGAGCCTGAATTCGATTCCTATTGTGGCCTCCCGGTTCACTGTATGTGGTTTGACCAGCGTTGACGAAGGCACCCCCGCTGACGACGGCACCCCCGCTGACGACGGCACCAACCCCTTGCAAAACATCAGTAGCAATCAAAGTGGAACTCTCGACTACTGGATGACTTTGCTCTGAGCTTGCAACAACTTCGGCCTGCTCTTGCTCAGTGACAACGTTTTCTACTCATTGTTCAGTACGTTGTGGGTCAACATGTGTTACGCTAGCATTTCCTATCTTCTCACTTGCTGCAGAAAGCTCTTCTTCCAACTCGAATTCCTTTAACTCAATTTCAGCCAGTTTCTTGCGGTGTACCTCAGCTAGTTCTTCCAACTCTAAATTACCTTGCTGTTCTTTTATTTTATTTTGCTGCGCTTTCAACTTCAATGACACCTTTGCTTGTCTCTCAAGTTCCTCCTGCTGCTTCTTCAAAACCAACAAATCTCGCCTCTTCTCAGTTGATGTTTTTGACTGCGCGACGGTATAGCGACTGGATTTATGCGAACCTGATTTATGATGTCGACTACTGTACCGCGACACCTTAGAGCGCGCATCTGCTTCATGTGAATCTTGTGGTTGTGTTGTTACGATCGTACTTAACGATTCTGCAACATTGTCAAGCTCTGTTTCCTCAGATTCAACGTTTAAGCCAGCTTTATATGATGCAGCCTTCTGTAAAACTGTATCGTTTCTTGATGTAACCGTATGAAGCCACATATCCTGCGCTGGTATCAATTTATCAGGATCAACACTTTTAGAAGCTAACTTAATCAATTCCTCATTTATTTCAACTGCAGTCTCTATCAGGCTCTTGCAATTCTGAATCTGAGTGTCAATCTTTGATGAGCGACTCTGACTTTCAATGTTCTCAATTATAATTTCATGGCACTTGTACAGTTCATTTTCAAGTTTGGTTCGCTTCGCAAATAACCTTTGAACCCTCTTCTGAAAGTTCTCATCCATGGCTCTAGGGTCTATACTTAACTCAAACTATAATTAACGGTTATCGGGCGTTTGCGGGGCGATTCGGAACGGTTTTCGGTGAGTAAAGTTACCAATGGGGCTGGGGATTAAGTAAGTCGGTTGATATCAAACAACACACACGGAGTAAACCTGAGGATGAATAAAACCAACTTAACTTACTTAATATCACCTCCCTGACCACTTAGGATGATGTTACGGCGTACGAAATTTGTTGAACGGTCGTACGACGGTGCGTCACTACTAATCGGCTAGTAGCTCGACGAATTACCAAGAGGTTTGGGAATTAAGCAAGTCGGTTGAAAACCAACAACACACGCGGAGCAAACCTGAGGATGAAAGACAACAACTTAACTTGCTTAATTTTACCGTCCCGGACCACTTAGTCAGTCGTTGCGAAACGAATGTTTTGAAAAGCGAACGGATGCAAACAGGTATCAAGTCGTTGTAAGCCTTATGTTTACCAATGGGGTTGGAGAATCAGGCAAATCGGTTAAGTTCCAACAACACACGCGGAAAAAACCTGAGGATGAAAAAACTCAACTTAATTTGCCTGATATTTCGCTACCAGACCACTTACCATAAGGTTGGTGTCATGTTACAGCACAGTTTCGCAGAATTATGGGGACGTTTTGACGATTTTTTGGAAATTTCTTACTTTTTTCCCAAAATTTTTCGGAAAATTTTGGTCAGCAGGTTCGAGTCGTAAACCAACCCAAAAAACTAGTCTAGTACCCCTTGTCTATGATCCGATTTCTTGAATTTTCAATCCGTTCACAATTACCCAAAACTTTGTGGTATCGGGAAAATTACCACTTGTAGCTTGCTTTGAGTTGGGATACACAATAAGACACCGTATGTAATTTTATTGCACAAAAAAAATTATGAAAACTAGATGAGTCTTACAGTTTTTGACGGTTTTGGAGATTTTCGGCACCGGAAATTTCTCTCTCACGAGTCTGAACAACTGTTTTCTCGTGCCTGTCTGTGAGAATGAAACACACTTTCTCGATGAGGAGGGTCACTCAAGAAGTGGGGCTGGGAGGAGGACTTCTGGTGATTGTTAAATCTAATGTTGACGCAGGAATTTTCAATTCTGATAAGCCATGAAATCCATGTAATGAAGGAACGATGCCTATCTATGCTTAGGCATCGTATGAACTTGCTTATCTATAGCTGTTTTTTGACCTCTGGCCCCAGCTTCACACCCTCCAGTATATCTTACAAAACTCTGGCGGCTGGTATTAGAAAACTCTGACGCTGGAGATGAAGAAGTTTGTTCAGCTATTCGTGTTGCTGCTTGTTGTGTTGCTGGTCGGATCAGTTGCGTACAAGACGTGGTACGTGCTTCAATTACTGACTGGGAAAGACCTCCTGGGGGCTATCCTTCTAGAGGCAACTAAAGAGTGTTGCGGTAATAACAAAATTCTCATCCACAAGGCTCCAATGCGAACTGAATGTCACACTTCTCAAATTGGCCATCAGTAAAATTGACTATCGCCCAGCCATGATTGTAAAAAAAACTCAATGACCATTCCAGACTGCGAGCATGCTCGCTATGTAATAACTACAATTAAGGTAAACTCGAGTGCCTTGTGGGGCGCCAAAATGTGCGCGTAAATCTCCACAAAATATTGACTTTTAAACAGTTGAATTACAGAGCGTTTTCTCGGCAAAACTAACACTGGAAATCCATAGTTTTACAGTTTTCAAAACGTATTTCAACATCGGTAAGATCGGCCACAAACAACTGCATAAATCAAAGCAAGCTGCAAAAATGGCCAGTATTTGTCCTTGAGACAAATTGCTCTTTTTAAAGGTCAGCCTTAATCAAGGCTGAACCAAATTAGAGCGAAAAGACGGTTAAAATCGGTTTTGGGGGGATCGAACCTGGTTACGGAGCATCCCATCAAGTTCGGTGCAGATTCGAGTTCTAGAAAGGAAATGACCTAGTCGGGATTCGAACCGGCGCCGAACCCGCCGGGACGCACCATGTATACGCTTGGCTACTGTCCCTGTATGCATTTACTTTTATATGCATTTATACTCTCGCACATTTACGTTTATATGCATTTGTACTATTGTTTTATATTTGCGCTGCAACAAAGATGGAAGCCGCTAAATCCAAAAAAAAATACTTATTAAAAAGTCGAGAAACGCTAGATCTTCCAAAAATTTCATAATTTAAATTGACAAAAATTCAGTTTTTTGGAAGAAATGCAAACTGAGAAAGTTAGATAACGCATTTGCATAAAATTAAAGCGTTCTTTTGAAAACTTTTGAGCCAACACCCAAAAGGCCGAAAACTTTTGAGCCGAAAACTTTTGAGTGGGGCCGAAAACTTTTGAGTCGACACCCATTGCATCAAAAAAATAATCATTTCAGAATTTTAAAATGCTCTCTAAGAAAACTCACACGAATAAGAAACTTGTTTTGTTCATCCAACGATGTATTAGAATTCCGCTGAACCAATTAGATATGAGCCCAAAAATGTTTTGAAGCCGAGTCATCAAAAACAAGAAAAAACAAAAAAACTAAACGTTCGGAAAAGGAGTTGGTAAAATCAAAATCAACAATAAAATTAATTTATGAAAGAGCGGGTTTAATAAATGCAAAAATGATCAAAATGTTTGTTGGTTGAATACGGTGTAGATTTGAGAAAATAATTCAGTGATTTTCTTAGGCAAATTGTTTAAAAGAATCTGTTTAAAAGTCTGTTCTGAATTGGTTAAGCATGCTAATCATGAGCGCAATCATAGCATGCAAAATTTTTCAGTGCAGATTACTAAACGGAGCGAAAAATTGGAAAACCGTTTTTTTTTTTTCAAAAAAATTTAATTTTAATTCATTATTTTCTAAATTTGAATTATAAGTAAGATTCCACAAACAATTTAACTCAATCAACTCCACCAATTAGGCTTTAGAAATCACATTCAGGAAATTGAAAGAAAAAGGAACTCAAAAAAAAGTCGGCGCTACAGATAGACAATAATCCAAAAAAAAAATTTTACTTTGAAAAAAAAAACTGGTCGCAGCCGGCTCCGAACCAAAAATCTTTGTTGTTTCAATCAAATTTATAACCTCTACACCTGGTGCGCGGAAAAATGATTGGTTATACATTTACTTATGGAGCAAGATGTAATATCTGCTAAATTTTTGTGAACAAAGTTGTTTGATGCAAAGTTGTTTTGAAAAAGAAGACTAGTACCCGGTTGCAACACCCTTGCTTATCGCAAGAATAAGAACATCAATTGAGCTTTTAGTAAATAAACCGACACAAATAAAAAGCACCCTAAACCACGCTTTAAAAAAACAAGAAATTATAAAAAGCCAGTCAAAAATCAATTCTCCGGAAAATTTTGCTCGCACATCGATGACTTTTTGGTAAAAAAAAGCAAAATTATCAAGAAAGAATTCACCTGAAAGAGAAGAATTATCGGGGATGAGGAACAACCGTAAATTAATGTGAACGCTGAAGTACCACTTCTTTGCTAGTTTCTTATCTGTCGTATTGTATTCGCAGTCTCTAATTTACTCTGCCTGACATGGAACAGAAGAAGCGAATTTAACTTCATTAGTCTCGTTAAAGATTCAAGAAGGGACCCGCCGAGCAGGTTGACACCCGACGTGATGATGAAACTGAATAATTGCGTAAATCACAGTCGAAATGATAATAAATCAATTCCATTTATGGAGTTATTGATGACCTTTTTCGTCGGCCTTTCAGTCTGTTTGACAATGTCTAAGATAGCATAAAAAGCATTTATACGATGGCAAAATATCTATTCTACCAGAGCCTCTAGGGTCGAGTAGAGATTGCATAAATTTTGGTGCTAAGACCCGATGTAAAAATAAGCAGAACGATAATTTTTTTCAACTTTAGCGAAGGAGCTATATCGAAATTCATTGAAAAAAATCAAAATTTTTCATTTAAAAAAAACACAAAATCAAATGGAATAATTACAGTTAAATTAAATTTATTCAGTTCAATTTTTTGTTTTTTAAACAAAATTTTTTAGAAAACAAAGCAACTAAAGGTCACTAAATTTACAAATTACTTATTCAGATACCCTGGAAGTTAGTTGTTCAGTTTATTTTGCTTTTTAAAACTACTATTTTGACTCTATTGACTCAAGAAAATGGAACTTTTTTTGTTTTGTTTTGTAGTAAATTGTAAAAACGATATGAAATTGAAAGACGCGGTAGCTAAGCATATTGGAGTTCGATTCACTTGGCATAACTCTAGTTTCTGCCATATGAACGTTATAGTTGTTGAAGGGTTGACAGGTTGCAAAAGGAGTATTTGGTGTGTTTCAAATTAAAAAGAGCTTGATTGAAATTGAGTTTAATTCAATGAAGCGGCAGTAGTCGAATGAGCCAAGCGGATCACATTAACAGCCCAAGGGCGGGTGGATTTGAGGGGGAATGGAAAATAGATGGATATAATAACCCCCCAGAGAAAATCATTTCATCCATCTTTTCGTACTTACACAATTGATCCGCCCATTCAAATTACATAATCGAATCAACACAAATAACTCTGTCTCCACAAAGTCGCAATGTGCGGTATAACAGGAAAAAAATGGAAAAATAAATTCAAGTTGAAAACCCCGAGTTGAACTGCAGAGACCAAAAATGACAACCGTAGCTTGGAAAAATTTTGCTGCGGCAAAAAAGGTTAGAATACAATTTGCATACCGAGCTAACATGCAAAATTTTCTGCTGAAAACAAATGAAAACATCCCCCCATCTGTACAGGGGGAGAACGGTAATTTGAGTTTTCAGCCAATCAGAATCGAGCATTTGAATTTTACACATAGCAACTTTAAACCGAGTTGAACGCTGGTATGGACCATTTTAACTTGATCTAACTGAGAAGCAAAGATGAGGTCTTCTGATTAGCAAGCTTTTCTGATCAACAATATTTTCCATTGGAGTGATAGATCAAAAATGATCAAGATTTCCAAGGAAAACAAAATTTTTTATAGCCATTTTGTTTTATTTGTGCAAAAAAACTTCTAGCTGCAGTTAAATTTGTCCAAAAAAAACAATCTAAAACACTGAAATTTATAAAAATGGAAGTTTTCTAGCCACTTCGAAAAAGTTTTTTTTAAAAACATATTTCTGTGTGAGAATCTATTGAGTTTAAGTCCGGGATAGCTCACTGATAGAGTAATTTCAGATAAAGCACACCGTCTGTTCGCCACGCTATCTTATTTTCGGCCGTGCAGTATACTGGTATTTGCAGGTTAGGTATCTGGAACTTATTCCAAAGGAGAACAACTGTCTTCTAAGTTATACTTAAATTGTTCTGGTGCTGAAACTACAAGTAGTTTCAGCATTACAAATTATTGTAAGTGTTAGTTATGGATCATGATTGGTTAGTTCTGAGTACTTTACAGAGAAAGTTTATCAAGGGTGGCGTCCCTCATGCTTGAAGGACCGAATGCTTGAAATTAATTTTAGCTTACTTTCAGCCAATCAGAATTGAGTATTCAAAATCTCAAAATAAATCGCAAAAATCTCAAATTAAGAAAACAAATCCAGGCCATTAGTGTTAATATTGGCCAATTAGATAATAAGCAGATGAGTTTTCACATATTGCCGGATCGAAGGCAAATTGGAACGAATTTAATATTTCAACGATACCGATTTACGAAAAGTGGAAAATCAAAACAGAAAACTTATTATAGATGCACGAATTGTTCCGCAAAACTTTCATTTAATATTCAGCAAAACTCAAAACTATCTTGCGACGAAAATCATCCTCATGACCCAGACTTTGATTTTATTTCTGAAAATCAATTTCGAGTGTTATGTTTTGATTTATTACGAAAAATACCAACATTTAGTTTTAAACAAAGTTACGAAAAAAAACTATCAAAAACACTCAAAATTCTCATTTTTTGGCGCCGGAATATCGGAAAATCAAGGGGAGCGAGGAGCTTATTGCATGAAAGAACAAAATGCTTGCCGGCCGTCCCCCTAAAAAAGTAAAAATCGAAAAAATTTGGGCATTGTCTGAAGAAAATGAAAAATTTTTGCTTGATTTGAACAATGATATCGGAGTTGCAATTTTTGGTACTGAGAAATCTCTCAAATTTTTGCTAAAAACTGACACAATTTTATGCGACGTTTAAAACGGCCCCAAAGCCTAACGACCAAATTTAAAGTTTTTTGTAGTGATTGGCAAGAGCAAAATACCAGTGTGCTGGGCTCTATTGAAAGGCAAACAACAAAGTCAGTACGAATATATCCTCCAAAAATTACAGGAAAAAAATTTGGAAAACTATTAGGATTTTTTTATCCTGAAATCATAATTTCCGATTTCGAACTCGGTTTTTTTGCGGCAGTTAGTAATGTCTTACCATACAATATTCATTATGGCTGCTACTTTCATTACACCCAAGCGATTTACCGAGAACATCAAATCATGGAATTCACTCAAACTTACAAAAAAAAACAAATTTCCAAAGTTTTGCGCAAAAAGTTTTTGCCTTGGCATCCTTTCCAACCAATTTAGTGGTCAGTTATTACCATCGACCTGTTGGACGCCAAGATATACAAGTACTTGTCAATTTTTTCCCAAAACTACAAGACTTTCGAATTATTTTCAAAATTTTTGGATCCAAAAAATGAAGATTGGAATGTGGAATGTTTATAATAGACCCTACAATTTACGAAAGCTGGCTTTCAAGCTGGAATCGTGAAATAGCCAGGATCAGACCGTCATTGTGGTTAATAATTTACTATTAAAAAATCCAAAAAAAAAACGAATCGTTTAGTTTTTGGCCGGATCGAAAAGGGCGAAAAACCTCCGGCCCAAAAATTTAAGTGGCGTCAGTTGAACGCCAAAATTCGAAGACTGAGAAACTCTTATGAACTTGAACTGATAAATCTTGATGTTTATCTGAATAATATTGCGGTTGTAACCCGCAATTTGTATTATTTTTGATTATTTCCTACTGATTTAATACATTTTCTGTTAATATTGACTTCGATTTTGTGGTAAAGGCATTTAGCCAATAAGAACGCTTAGCGATTTTGATTGGTTGAAATGAAATTCTTCAACCATTCGGTCCTTCAAGCATTAGAATACTCCCCTTATCGAGAATGTAATAGGATAAAATAAACAATTGTTTTGAACTGGTTCCACTATACATTAACTTAGACGAATAAAGTTTTTCTAAGCGCAAAAACCACTAGTTAGCCGCACCGAGCACTTTTGTATTTATTCATTAATTTTGGATTTCCGCGGCAAAATAGTCAACTTCGATGTTTACTCCCAATCCCCCTTCCCCCCACTTCTCTAGTTTACCAACCCCACTACCACTCCCTCTGAGTTTTACTTCCCCCCAACCACGTTCAGTAAACTTGGCGGAAGAGGATAAGCTATGGGAAGGGGTTTTTAAACTGGAAGGATGGTTAACTGGGAGGTGTTGATAAAGAGGCAGAGTTCAACCATTGGAATCACCCGGTCAACTATTGACTTGAGGGAGAGAAGGGGGTTGGGTGAATTCTGATTTTGATTAGAAAAATTAAATAAAACATTGAACTGCCGTGAATTGAGATTATAAAAAGTGGGAAAATATAAAAAATAAAAAACTTAAAAATGTAAAATGTGAAAAGTATAAAATTATGAAAAAAATACGTAGCAATTGCACTAAACAGGAAATGAAATAAATTTAAAACAAAATTGAAAACTTCATCAAAAACTATCGGTTCATAATGGATTATACTGACATAAAAATTATGGGATTATAATCCATTATAATGGATCATAATTGTGCATTTTGTAGTTGTGCATATCGATAATCACTATAAAAAGACAATATTGTCGATTATGAAATATGGGCGCTCGGTGCGGGTTTTGTAATTTACAAACACAAAAATATAATGATCAATTTAAATTATTTAGTGGTTTGTAAAAAAAACGCTTGCCATATAATTTCTTTTTCAAAGAAAAAAACTCATTAAACAATTTTGCAAAATGGAAAAATGGTTATCAAGCTAATTTCATACAAATTTATTCTAAGGCTAGCCCTTTTCTTTAGTGTGGAATTTTATTAAGCTTTTTTAAGCTTTTTTGTCAACCCGGGTATTCTTTTTTTTCTCGGTAGCAACTCAACCAGAGGCACTCAAAAGAGACTTTGTATTCTTGTATTCAACCTTGATTAAACTCGAAATGACCATTATTGTCTCGCCAAGTAATTAGATTTTTGAGATAAGATATAAAACTGTTTCACGGAAAACAGCGATTCAGAGTGTTTTTAAATGCGATATGACCATAATCATAGAATCTTCAAATCGATTTTCGCACGCATGCAATTGTAAGAAAATTGTACCGCGAATCTTTTTTGAAACTAAATTGCATCATCGATCAATCCGGAAGTTTTAATGGATAGAACTGCCGAAAAATTGAGTTTCAAATCTGAGTTATCACAAATTTTGTATAAACGTGTGGTCATATCGAAAAACGGTTGAATCATGGCTGAACATATGTTGATAAATTGATGTTCACAGAACAAATGAAGGAAACCTTAATGAAATCGAACACTTCTAAACTTTTCTTTTATTAGAAAGGTTCAGCTTTTTAATCCAATGGCATCCAAAAAGTGGGAAGGCAATTGGCCAGAATTTTTTTCATGCAATTCCAGGAAAATCAAAACAACCTTTATTGTTAAATACTGTAGTATCTTTCTTTAGCTTTTCAACTGTGACTCCGATTCAAGTTATG